GGGGGGGGTGGAGGTGGGGGGGAGGGCATGAGTCTCCAGCTTAGCTCCTCCCACTCCCGGCCTTTCCCCCATCCCCAACTGACCTGTCACCTCCAGGGGCACCAGATCCTGCTCATCCTCGATGCCCCGCACCACTTGGCAACGGTACAGCCCAGAGTCGCTGGCCCTCAGTGGCCCCAATAGCAGGGTAGCGTTGGCACGGCGCAAAGGGTAGGTGGGCAGTGACACGCGTCCCTGCCAGCCCTTGGCCACTCGCACCACGTTGTCCTTGGCCACCAGTATGGGCACGTCCTGTCGCTGGCCCGATGCCGTCCGCACCTTGGTCCACTTGATCCGAGGGGCATCTCGGCCCATGCCCGGCCGGGGCCGCAGGGTGAAGAGGCAAGGCAGGGCCACCAGCTCTGCCAGTGCGGCCCGAACTGACCCCGACCCCACTTTCTGCATGTGGAGGCCCTTCTCAGCATCCTGTGTGCCTGGCGAGGGAGGAGGTGGAGAGAGGGCCTGATCAAATGACCAGGGAGGATGCCACATCCCCCCATTCACAGATGGGGACACTGAGGCTGGGGAGGTCAGGCTGCGGCCTCCACTTCACCACAAAGTGGTCACGGGTCTGTGAGTTGCATCCAAGGCTTGAATTCAGAAAGAGATGTATAGGGTCGCACCCATTAATTGTTCTCCACCCACTCAAAGTCCGGATTAAGGCGGACTCTTTGAAAAACAGGGGTGGGGAGACACATTTCCATTCCCATGCCCCCCTTCCTTCTCCAGGCCTTGATTTCACCAGAACATATAAAAGGAATAACTTGGAAATAATGTTCATGGAGTGCTTTCTATGTGCCAGACACTTCAAAGTAATCACTACAAGGTCAGCAGTTTGAAACCAACAGCCAGTCTGCGGGAGAAAGATGAGGCTTTCTACTCCCGTAAAGAGTGAAACCCACTCAGAAACCCACTGGGGCAGTTCTGTCCTGTCCTGCAGGGTTGCAATGAGTGGGAATTGACTCGGTGGCGGTGCGTTTGTTTGCTTCACAGCAAACACTCTGAAAGCATTCTGAGGTAGCATTGGAAGGGTTAGGGACTCATGCTCAGAGAGGTATCACTACGTGCTTAAGGCCACAGAGCAGATCGGTGATAGATTTCCAAAGCTTTGTATTACCACTCAGGAGATGCCAGAGAGGAATTGCCTGGTGTCTCGCTTGTTCGCTCACTCTCTGTCTCTTTAGCTCATCTCAGCAAAATTGTGAGAGGCAGGAATCTCCAGCCTCCACTGGCAATGACTAAAAATACTCTCTCAGGTGTCTGCTCTGCTTTTGACTGTTCAAAGACCTTTTTCATCTATTCTCGTTCTCTATTCTCCAGACCAAGCCAGGGAGCCAGCAAGAGAAGGTTCTGGAATTTAAAAGCAGCCCCAGCTTGTCAATCCCCCAGGCCCTAACCTCTCCCTCCCCACAAGCCAACTTACTCTGCTCCCCAGCAGCCACAAGCAGCAGCATCTGGAGCATCCGAAGGCCTGTGGCCCAGACAGACAGCCCCCCCATCCTGGACCTGGAATGGGATGGAGAGGGAGAGAGAGAAAGAGAGAGAGAAGATAAGCCATCACAGGAAAGCACCCAGCCTTTTGGAATAAGGAGTCAAGGCTCAAAGAGGCCAGCAAGTCACTCAAGGTCACACAGCGAACAAGCCAAGATCAAACCCAAGACCAGCTGATTTCAGAATCTGAGCAGTGGGTGAGACCTGGGGCTGTCACTCTTCCTAGCTGTGTGACCTTGAGAAAGTGGCTTAACCTCTCTGTCTCTGCTTCTTTATGGGTCACATGAGGTGACGATCAGATGGCTGGAAGGGAGAAACCAGTCAATGCATTTAACATGCTTTAAGCGCCCTGGCACAAAGGAGTGGATTTCAGTTGCGTTCACATTGACCTTCACTCAGCCCACATCAGGGCTCCCTGTTTCAGATCAGCCTTCCTCATCAGACTGGGGGCTCCTGGAGGGAAGCAGCCAGCCACAGTTCTCTCTGGGACTCCAGCCCTGAAGCTGGGTCTGCTGACTGACATGATTCTCAGCTTCAATTTCAGAATTTGGTTGTTACCAGGATTCTATTTTTGGTTTGGGGGATTTTGTTTTAGGCATTGCCGATGCCCAGCAGGAAGAGGGGCCCCAGCCCCGCCTACCCTTCCATCCTCTCACCTCCAGCAAGGGGTGTGCCTCTGCAGGGCACAGAGAAATCCCAGGGGTGGGGCCAGCCCTCTTTAGGGGCTGTGGCCCATAGCAACACATGGGACACTTAGTGAGGCCTGCACATAGCCACAGAGCACACAGCAGTGCCCTCCTGGACCTCATCTTCTGACAGGAAGTGGAACTCTGAGCAAGCAGCCCTTCCCCAAAGCCCCCACACCTTAGGCATCTGTCTTATAGGACCAGGTTCAGGTGATGAGACAGATGGGAAATGAGGAGCTTATGAACAAGCCCAACCTAGCACACACTCATTATACGATCAACCCCGAGGAGGAGGGTGATGGAGCCCCAGAATGGGGGCTGTGCAGGACACCTGCCCCCTCTCAGGCCCCCCAGATTAGTGCTCCCAGGCAATCAGGGCCCTGTCCGTGGTGCTGAACGCATAGGCAGCGCTGTCCCAACCTGGTCTTCCCCAGTCAGGTCAACCATATCTCCCAGCACAGAGAGAGCTATCAATTTGTCTTGGGTAACACAGAGGTCACTGCCAGAGACCAGGCACTGGACTAGCGTTCTCCCAACTACAAATCAGTAAACCTCAGCTCCTCCTGCTTCCATGCTGGTTACCTCCATTCTGTCCTGGGAGCCCCCAGCAGGGGTGTCCCTGATGGCTGGTCAGCCCTGATTGGACATTAGGGGGATGGGGCATGGTTCAAGGCCGTGGCAGCCCCAGGAGAGCCTCAGGAGGGGTGAGTCAAGGAATTCACACACTCACGTTTTCACATACATTCACAGCTCTCTCATTCACATAGACACATGCACATCCAGACGCATATGCACTCACATTCACAAACACACACATGCATAGACACATGCACACACACGTCTCACACTCAGACACAGGTGCCTCTTCTTAGTCACACACACACACACTCCTTACATGTTTGGTGACCTTGGACAAGTGCTGTCACTCTGTGTCTCAGTTTCCCCGCCCGTAATATGGGTATAGTCCCATGCCTACCTCATAGGGTTATCTATCTATGAAATGAATTAAAACTTAAAGGTTCTAGAACTGTTACATTGAACAGCAAGCAGCCTCGTGCACACACCCAAACAGACCGAGCCACCCAACATCGTGACTGCCACAGATTTCAGGAGCACACCCCCTGCTCTTCATCCAGAGACTTGCTCAGTCCCCACTCCCACACTTACCCTCCCAAGCCCACATCCCTTCTCTCAAAATACCTCCTCCCAGGGCCGCCAGAGGTGAGCGTTTACACAGCTGTCTGGGGCTCATCCCCTTATGAATAATGTATGAGCCTCATGCATATGCAAGTAGGGGCTGTGGGTGCTGGGGGAGGGGTGAACAGAGCTGGTGTGTGTGTGTGTGTGTGTGTGTGTGTGTGTGTGTGTGTGTGTCTCACACCAAACCCCATCTGAGAGGGTTTGCGCAGTGTGTGTGTGTGTGTGTGTGTGCCCACGCCAGGGTGTGTATGAGGCTGTGTCCGGCGTCTGAAACCATGTGTTTGGTGGTGGTGGTGGTGGTGGTGGTAGTGGAGGGGAGACCACTCCGTGAAAACTGGGCAGTAGAGGACCCCTTTGCTCTCCCTCTGCCAGTGCAGGTCTGAATGCCCCTTGGCAGGGGCTAGGCACACATTTGTGTGCTATGACCAGTTGGTCCATGTGTGCACCTGGGTGTGAAGGTGCAACAACTCAGGGGAGAAAGAAGGCTTGGTCAGCAATCCTCTCCGGGGGCCCCCAGGCCCCCCCAACCCTGCACACAGGCCACTCAGGGTCCACAGTGCCGGTTGGCCCCCACCTCGATCTGCACAGGAGGACACATGCGTCCACATGGCAGACACAGACCCCAGAGACACACAACGCACAGATTCGCATGGACATTAACAAAGAGACAATACGGGGACTCAGAGGCACATCTCCTTCACAAAGACACACACCCACAGGCTCACAGCCCTCTGGAAACCTCCGTGAGCCTCGCACAATCAGACACAGCTCCTTACACATGCGTGCACGCACACAGCCCAGCTAGAGGAATGTGGCCTTGGCATCCGACAGATGGATACACACCATTTTGCCACCTGGTGACGTGGGCCCAGCACAAGTTTCCTGACAAAGGCATAACCACAGTCCCATCAACTCATGGAGGCCCCCAGGCACCCTGTGCATCTGCCACCCCACTAGGAGGACACACACAAAAAGCCCCACCTCCTAGGGGTGCATTCCATTTGGGGATGAGCATGAGCCAACGAGGGTGCTGCAGCTCCAGGGTCTCTGGGCTCACAGACCTCCCGCTGCTCCCCATCCCCCTTCATGCCCCCCCACTCCCCACTGGGGCTGGTGCCAACCCTCCCAATGCCTTTATCTCCCAGGATGCTGCCGAGAGGAACAAAGCCCCTTACACGGAGCGCTGAGGTCGCTCCTGCTCCTGCTTATCCTGGGGTCCCCGTCCCTACTTCCCAGAGCCTGTGTCCCCAAACCAACCAAGCCAGGGCTGCCACACACATGGACTTGGACACATGGAATGCAGGGCGAGGCAAGGGGCTGGGTCCTGCTGTGAGCATGTGGGAAAATGAGATGCTGGGTGGTCCCCCACTCGGGACTGGGTGACCCTCATGGCTTCTGGACATGCAGAGCAGCCCCCATGCCTGGGAAGACCTACTGCATTCCCTGCGGGGTGGGAGGGAGACCCAACTTCATGTCCCAGGGAACAACAGGGACCCCCCCCCTCCCGGTGGCATGAGAACCTCCTCCCTAAGCCAGGCTAAGGTGAATTAGACCCCCCTCAAAACAGCAGGGTGGCTCCGAGCTGTCTCTTCCCTCAGTCCCAGTCTCATTCATTCTCAGTCCAGACCCCCTGGATACCTCTCAGGTGACCCTGGGGGCCCCTCCTCACTGCAGTCTTGCCTGAGATCTTCTATTCAGTCTCCAATTGGGAATCCCCACTTAAAATCTTGGGGTGTCTCGGCTCAGTCCCGGGGTGCCTCGTTCCGGAGT